TTGTGTGTTCCATATTTCTTAGCTTGTTTCTACTAAACCAGACAAAGATTTTAGGCCCAAGTTTGAACCAGTCTTTGTTGTAAACGCAAACAACTCACAAACAACACATTAGTCCGTCAGTATCAGCATTTGTGTTTATTTTAGGGGAAGAAACAAGTGCAAAAGCACAACTGAGCTACATAATGACGCCGCGCTACTTTAATGCGAGTAGTTTCATCAAGTAGCAGCTCTACAGCTTACTGCTGACAGAATGTTAGTCTTTGTGAATAAAACCAGTAAAGTGCTCTGAAGCTGACCATCTATAGCTGCCATTGGCAAGAAAACTTAAAGAAAGGCAGAACATGATGAAATGAGCACAAAAAATACTGATGTGAAAACAGACAAAAGAATCCCGTTGGAGCATTTTAACATAGGTTTACTCGACACGTTACAGGAGCGGCTATTTAAAGTAATTTAAGACTTTATTGAGCCCGTTTCAGCCAATAAAACTATTAGATTCAGATCTATTTTCTGTTCAGGTGAGTTTGTTCTGAGGATATTTGAGGCTGTTTGTGCCTTAAATGAAGCGTGTAAAGTAATTCTCAGGCAGAAACTGGTGCAGACATCTTGTGTAGCACACGCTCAGGAACAAGAGCTTCCATCATGTGTAAAATGAAAAAGAGTGTTCATGGATTTTTCACCAAATCCTTCACAAATTAAGAGCACTTTCTTGTTGGGCTATGATTTGGCAAAAGAGAAGACTCTGCTACCGGTTTTATAAATTTAGTTATTCTTAAATAACACAGAAACCACAGGATTAAAACAAATATAGACATAAAAAAGCAGTGGAGAATAGAAAGGTTAACGTAACAGTAAAAATAAAATAAAAAGCAGAGAAACAACTATTTAACCTTACATATTTTAAAGGCCATCACACAACCCCCCCAAAACAACAACAAAAAAAGAAAAACACAAGTTTATCTGAACTGTTTCTAAAAAAAAAGGCTCCATGTTCAAAATGCAAACCAAAAACTTTGTTTTTAAAGTATCACTGAGCGAGAAAAAAAACATTTTGGATTAATTTCACATAGTTGAAGTTTTAATTTAATCAGAAAGATGTCATGTATTTTTTTATCTATTCAGCAGTTTGTTAGCTTTGCTAATATGAAGCTAAACTAAGCTAACCAAAGTGTTAGCTACATAAACTAGCAGCTAGGCCAGCTTGTCTTACTTCAAAACTAAAAAAGGCGGGAAAACAGTGAGGGCGGGAAAACTATGAGCCTGGCTATGTTTGAAATGTAAGATTCCAAACTATTACCTCCTCGGTTTACTAAGACATATTATTTTGTTTTTACAAAAAAAAGATAAAATCAGCTGCTTTTTTGTTTAACAGAAGTGATAAAATAGCGCTAAAACAAGGAAAGCTATTTCCCAATAGTTTTTAGTGATCTGGGTTGTAGTAGAGTTTAGCTTGATTTTTTTAAGCATATTTACGAAAATATTTTACTACAGTTTTGATAAATCTTAACTAATTACATCAATAAATAAGAAGAATGTCATTAAAATAAAAATGTTTTCATTTAGTTAAAGCAGGCTGACAATTATGCTAACAAGGAATGCCAATGTGCAAAAGTGACACGATTTTGACTCACCCATGTCAATTCCAGTAGTGGAAAATAAACTTCTGAAATGTAAATTACTTTTGTCATTGCTTACTAGGTGGGAAAACCTAAAAAATGATCCCTCTTGGATCTTTTTAACACATCCAAATCTACATAAAAGCCTTAGATAAATGTGTTCACAAGGAAACCAGTCCCGCTAAACAGACATTCCTTCCTTTTCTACACAGTTAGCATATATTTTAAAGAATATAAATAGCAAGTTAAAAAATACACACCTGTTGAACAAACATAATTACATGTAATTTTTTGTTTAGACAATAAAAAGAGGAATACTAAATCTTTGAAACGCTGTTATAGCTGTTAACAGTAGTAAAACCTTAGAGGTAGAAAACGTATAACAGAAATGAGAACTTGGGAGTCATACCACTCGTTGCCATGCGTGACAAAGGTTTAAATGAAGATGTCGCACAATCGAGTGTGTGCTGGAGATAAGTCCCAATGACTGCCGCTCCAAATTTGAGCTCAGTATCAGTAAAATGGACTGTTTTAGCCATTTGTATTTGCTAAGGCTGATTAGATGTGGCCATCCTTATTTGTGTTGACTAAAAAAGTTTATAATCTGTAAGTTTACATTCAACGATGACTTTCTGAGTGTTTCATTAAAATCATCCACTGGCTCGAGCACAGACGCACACAGCCAATCAAATGATCATCCGCCAATAAGAAAAAAACAACATTTATAACCTTGTACACGCCAAACAGCTACAATTTACCAAAACAAAGTGTATGTATTGTATCACAGATAAAAGAGTAAAAAAAAATGACAGGAAACAGGTGAACACACACAAATATCCAGCTAGGTCGTCCTGCATGGTCCAAACAGCCAGTGGCAGCTATAGCTTCTTGGCTAACTGTCCTCAAACCTGGACTTAAATACTTGGTTGCATTAGAGAAAAGCTGAGGGGATCATTTGTTTTGGGTTCAAACAGACTCTGTTCTGGAGCCATTTCTTCTCAGAAAGCAGTTTGAGAACGAGTGTGATGATTTGAGCTGAGTCCATCTACCTCTTATTAAATGTCCACATCTTTTCCAGACAACTCTTTAAAGCGGTGGTTGAAACGATGCGTGATGTGCATACACAGTACACATCTAAACGTGCAGGAGGAAAAGCAAAGATGTACTGATGGTTGTACATTAGGTGGGTGTCCATTTGTTCAGCAGGATTGTTTACTATTTGGACTTTAAGGGATATGTCAGCTTATTTGATGTGAGAGGATGTACAGGTTATAGATAATCTTTGCACAACCTCAGTTTGGACAAGGAGTTTAGTTCTGACTGTACTGACAAGCCAATTGCCAAAAATGTCATAGCAATCATGCAAACGCTACTTTATAAACCTTTACACTGCTGTCATTTTTGCACGACATCTTGATTTACAATGAATTCTGCTGTCAATTGAAAGCACAAAAGGAAGCAGCAGCAGGTAGCTGTAGACCCTCCGGAGCAGACTGGGCGGGGCTTAATTTGAGCCGGATCTTGCCGGAACAGGATCTGGGAACTCCCTTATTTTGACAGGGTGCGTTACGAAACCGTTTGCTTGGATCTGGTAACGCTCAGGCTTACTAATAATAAATTTATGAACAAATATGACTGCCTGGAAAAAATAAAACTTATTTTGTTTATGTAACTAAAAATAATTACATAAACACTAATTTTAAACACAACAGCCACTTACAAGCTTCTTAATATCACATACGATCTGCCGGACTCTTCAATAAGCATTAAAAAATCTTCACCCCTAAAAGTCCAAAGTCATCACGCATTTTTATTAAAAAAGTCAAAATATAATTAAACAGCATAACTAAGTTGCAAATCAGTTAGTTTAAGTGGGTTATTAATAAAATTTTGATTATTAAAAATACAACGAGAAAAACGTTTGATGTGTATTATTCACATCACGTATCAAAACCACGGCGCTAATTTGTCAAAATAACAGCGATCAAAAGGTAAAAAAGACAGTCCAATTTACTTTCATTAAAAAAAGGTTTCTCGCTGACCTTAGTTGGACAACTGAGAATTGAAGCACCTGAAGGCAGTGTTAATGGAGATTGGAACAGATGCGAGCAAGTGGTGGTGGTGGGGAGTGCCGAACTGTTTGACAGAAGCGGAGCTGCTCTATTCACACAAGGAGAGAGCTGCTGTTGCTGCTCTCTAAATGAATCAAGTGTTCACAAATGTAGGTAAACGTAGATGTTTAACAACTCGTTAAAATACACCAAAATGCAGGAAATGGCATCTACTTTATTCAAAATTTTCTGGAGAAGCCCACTATTTGCGTTCTGGCATGGATCAGTTTACAAATTAAGCCCCGAGACGGGGGCACTTCCTGCAGGTGTCTCATCATATTTTTGAAGGAGTTACGGTTTAATGCAATGACGGCGGTGTCAAGGTTTAAACAAAGCATTCACATGAGACACTGTGAAAGTTTTGAAGCTGTTTTAAGATGGCAGCGATCCACTTTGGTCTTAGATGCAATCTAGTCAGATCTAAACTCTGCTCAAAAAGCTACAACAGGGAACATAAAACTAACCTTTCCACAAAACTGTAATTAAAAATGGCTGAACTATTGCTTTGGCGCACATCTGGGAACTGAGCCATCCAAGATTTCCTGTGCATAACTCGTAAGGTAAAGAATACAGTTCTTTTAAAACGTGTGCAACAACTTGTGCGACGCAAGAATAAAATTTACTTTTTTCAGCAGATTTTAAGATGAACAACTCGTCAAGAACGAGTTATTCTTAGTAACTGAATGTTCAGGCCGGGTCCAGTTTAATCACAAGAAAGCTGGTTAGTGTCTGCCACAATGTGCACGATGAAGCAATCATCGCAGACCTGCGCTGTGTCCATTGTCTCGGCTACAGAGTAAAATGCAGCTCCGGTTCGATGCCGTCTGTTACAGATTGGATTAGCGAGTGTGTCTGCCGCCCCTTGTTAAATATGCCACATGTGCACAACGCACCATTACTGTACCTTTATGGTACCTCCATTACAGTTTAATAATAAATGTCAGAGCAGCAGCATTGTGTGCTGTTCCCTTCTAATTTTAGTCGTACCATGTGCTAGAATTTCTGCAGTCTGAAAGGAGTAAAAAACAAAACATGTTCAGTTTATTAGTTTCTAGATCCCTTAGTGTTCAGTAATAAAACCAAAACAAGTGAATGTGTTCAGCTGTGGTAACTCAAAATGTACACAAACACCGGAGCAATAATTACTCAAAAATTCATATTTTTAACAGACACGATGATTTTTATATAAATGCTTTTGTTACCGTCCTTTGAAGAGAACAAGTACAACAGACTGAATATATTTTTTACTTTTGTTGTGGGGGTCGTATTGTCCCTATTTAAACACTCAGCTGTAGCATTAACTTCCTTTACATGAATTAACTATTCATTTTTGGTTTTATACTCCTATCTATCAAAGACCAAACAAAGTATTACATCCAACACAGGCGCCATGTGGGTGAGATTAAATTGTGTTTATCTGTTTTGAGTGAACTCAGTGACTGTTTGAACCCAAAAAGATATAAAACAGTTAATTATGCTTGTCAGTAACATTGCTGCAGCTGAGAAGGTTTGGACTCAGGGTCAATGCCAGTGTACGGAGGAAGGTCTGTGCATGTGTGTTTTGGGGGTGTGCAGGAAGCTCCTCTATGTCCCTTTAGGAGGGGTCCATTTTAAGGCTGTGGGGTCGATGGTCTTTCCATTACCACGTTTGGTCTCCTTGGCTTTCCAGTCGTCAATAAGGTCCTTCAGGATTCAAATGAATATTGGTTAGTTACCAGCACGGCAAGAGAGGAAGACATGAAGGTAAATCTAGAAGAAAAATCTGGTCATGTTCCTCACCTGTCTCTTTAGAACCAAGTGCTTTCCTTTCCAGTATTTGAGCATCTGTAGGGACTGCAGTGTGCTGACAATATCTACTGGGTTTACCGCCGTCTCCTGGCTGATCTCTGCAACGACAGAAGAGTTAGAAGGACCTTACTTCACCAAATCATGTCAATGCAGTACAGTAGTCTATCGGAGGGGAGCTGTACCCTGAAGCTCCGCGATAAGTGAAAAACCTACAGCAGTCCCGCGCTACTTTGCGGTTAGTTTATCGCAGACTCGCTCTATCCCGGTTTTTCAAAATAAGATTGCACATGACACACAATAGGCATGGGATTTTTTATTTAAAATAAATTATTTTAAATTATTTAGCACCTGCTGCTCATTTGTGCAGCCCAGAGCCGCAGAAAAAGCTTCCACCTGCACCTGCTCCGTGCAGCCCTTACTGCTGCAGGATAAACTTCCTGCTGCAGCTGATCAGCTGTTCTCAGTGCAGAGCGGAGAAGTGGGCGTGGCCAAGAATGCTTGCAGAGAGCAGCGGAGGCAGGGAGTTGAAATTATGACAGTCTGTGCTCTTTTAGTGCATTTAGAGTTTAGAAATGCTGTTTAGAATATTGCAAGAGTGTGGGAAGGGTTTAAAACACCTTAATATATAAACACTACAATAAACTACTACTTACTACTTGTACTACTATTCCTACTTTGCAGTTTTTCACTTATCGCAGGTCTTCAGGGTAAGGATCCCCCACAATAAACGAGGGACTACTACTGTTTCATACAAGCAGTATTGAATGAAATACTCTTGCCCTGTCCAGAGACCGAGTCTGACATGAGCATATTTTACACCCTGCGACTGAGTTATTACGAATGCCCTAATGTAGATGATTTAATGTTCTGGAGTACATTACAAAATACCTGTCTTATCACTGTGCCAATGAAATGAAACAATTACTTAAATTAGGAGACTAAAGTGGAGCTGCACATAAAAGCAGCTTTCCAAAGCTGAATGGTCTCAATATAACCTGATCTACTTTTCTATTTTATATTAAATATGGATTTGGTTACTGATTGACCTTGTGGTAAAAGAGAAACAAGAGCTTGAAGAGTCACATGAGGCTTAAAAATATCAAATGTCCAGTAAAAATATATGAAAATAATTGTAAATGTTTGAGAGGACATTTAATTACTCAGACAAAGAAGGATTGTTATGACAAACACTGACTCAGATTTTATTTTCAGTCCGAGTTAAGGATCTTTTAAGAACTAAACCATAATAAAACCAAATTTGACAGCTCTTTCAGTAACCAGCTGACCATTATCAAAAGTGAGCTCAAGTGATAAATAAGACCATCACAGTTTTATAACTCAGTTTTTCCCCTTTTTAAATAAAATAGATTAATAATTAGAACTTCTTACAGATGTAAGGCCATTGGATGGAATAAGCAAACACCATTTACCACAATAAAGTTTTAAAATCCCAATGGATCTGTTTACTTCATTTCTCATCATTAAAACACACAGCTACACACCGCAGAGAAAGACAATGAAACAAATGTGAGTGAACAGAGTATTCACTGTTTTGTCATTATGTTGAGGTTTCACTCTTGTCTTTGGTGACAAACTATTATCTGGTGCTTTAGACAATTTTATTTGTAAGGACAAAAAAGAAAGGAAAAAATATGCTTAATCCGGTTTGTGTATAAATATGTGTAAATGTGTGTAAATATATGTGTATATATATATATATATATATATATATATACATATGTATATAAATTCAGAATAGAACACAAATCACAGATCAAAAGTTTAAACTGAGAGAATGTATCATTTTAAGGGAAAAATCTGTTGTTTCCAAATTTCATGGCATCAACAAATCCCAAAAAAGTTGGGACAAGTCCATTTTTACCACTGTGTGGCATCCCCCCTTCTTCTTACAACACTCAACAGACGTCTGGGGACAGAGACCAGTTTCTCAAGTTTAGAAATAGGAATGCTCTCCCATTCATGTCTAATACAGGCCTCTAACTGTTCAATCGTCTTGGGCTTTCTTTGTCGCACCTTCCTCTTTATGATGTGCCAAATGTTCTCTATGGTGAAGATGAAAGATCTGGACTGCAGGCTGGTCATTTCAGTACCCGGATCTTTCTCCTACGTAGCCATGATGTTGTGATTGCTGCAGAATGTGGTCTGGCATTATCGTGTTGAAAAATGCAGGGTCTTCCCTGAAAGAGATGACGTCTAGATGGGAGCATATGTTGTTCTAGAACCTGAACATAGTTCTCTGCATTAATGGTGCCTTTCCAGACATGCAAGCTGCCCATGCCACAAGCGCTCATGCAACCCCATACCATCAGTGATGCAGGCTTCTGAACGGAGCGTTGATAACAACTTGGGCTATCCTTGTCCTCTCTGGCCCGGATGACATGGCGTCCCAGTGTTCCATAAAGAACTTCAAATCGTGACTCATCTGACCACAGAACAGTCTTCCATTTTGCCACACTCCATTTTAAATGACCTCTGGCCCAGTGCAAACGTCTGAGCTTGTGGAGCTTGCTTAGAAATGGCTTCCTCTTTGCACTGTAGAGTTTCAGCTGGCAACGGCGGATGGCACGGCGGATTGTGTTCACTGACAATACTTTCTGGAAGTATTCCTGAGCCCATTCTGTTATTTCCTTGACAGTTTGAGGTGCAGTGACGTTTAAGAGCCCGGAGATCACGAGCATCCAGTAGAGTTTTACGGCCTTGACCCTTACGCACAGCGATTGTTCCAGATTCTCTGAATCTTTTGAGGATGTTATGCATGGTTGATGATGATAACTTTAAAGTCTTTGCTATTTTATGCTGGGTAACACCATTCTGGTATTGCTGCACTATTTTTCTGTGCAACAATGGTGAAATTGGTGATCCTCTTACCATCTTGGCTTCTGAGAGACACTGACACTCTGAGAAGCTCTTTTTATACCCAATCATGTTGTCAATTGACCTAATTAGTTTTAATTGGTCTTCCAGCTGTTCGTTATATGCTCAATTTCCTTTTTCCAGCCACTTATTGCTACTTGTCCCAACTTTTTTGGGATTTGTTGACACTGTGAAATTTTGAATCAACATATTTTTCCTTTAAAATGTTACATATACTCAGATTAAACTTTTGATCTGTCATCTATGTTATATTACGAATAAAATATTGACATTTGCCATCTCCACATCATTGCATTCAGTTTTTATTCACAATTTGTTTAGTGTCCCAACTTTTTGGAATCCGGTTTGTACAATCAAGGAAGTGGTCGGCAGCAAATCTGGACCTGGTAAGGCTGCCTGCCTTATATGATGGCTTGGTTTGTGCCTCAAGCACCCAGACTCAAATGCTTTTGGCAGAATGGATCAGATCTCGGGGATTATTCTCAGGCACGTTCCATTGGTGTGGCCATTTAATTTGGATGTTTTGAAACCGAGTGGACTGACACAGACTAGATGTCATTAAAGTTCTGCCCGTCCCGAAAACAATCATGTTTATCTGAATTTGGCTCCCTGACTGGCCTTGACAGGCCATCTTATCTCAACCCACCTGGAAGTTTTGTAAACTTGATGCTCTGACCGTCAACCAGAGGTTAAAAGTGTGTTAGGAAATTTTTTTGTCTTCAAACCCTATGTGTCATTTTTCACCACTTTGTATCGTCTGTCCAAACAGGTCTCACTTGTAATTTAGTCTTCGAAGCTCAATGTGACTTATCTGTTTAAAGGTTGAATGAATGGAAAAAGTAGTGTCTCTGAGCAAGACACCTCCTTAACTGCTCCCTGGGTGCGTACATAGCTGCCCACTGCTCCACCTGGGTGCATCCCAGGTATGATGGGTTAAATACAGAGACTAATTTTGCCATTATATGCGAACATACAATGATGACAATCTCAAACTTCCCTTCCAAGATAGCAGCTCTCCACTCCACACAGAGGGCTGTGGTAGCTTGGTGGTCTGTGGTTGTGTCAGGAAGGTCATCTGGTCTAAAAACAATTGCCAAGTCTTCGTGTAAGTTAGTTTGCTGTGGTGACCCCTGACGAAGCAGCTGAAAGAAGAGAAAATAAAACTAGAACGTTCCAGGTGGATTTTTGCTGGGGACTGCCAAGTGGCGGCCATTTTAAAATGTTGATTTGACAGTACTATGTGTTGGGGTTCACCACACCAAATTTCAGCTCAATATGGCAAAATAATCAATGACTTGTAGTATTTTTTTCTTTTAAGCTATGGTGGCCATCTTGGATTTTTGATGTGGATTCAGCATGTGTTGGGGAACATTCTCAGCTATCACCACACCAAATTTCACCTCTGTGTTTGTAAAAATAGCTGAGTTAAAGCCACGTAAATTTAGCTTTGGTGTACATTTTGAACAATTTTTTAATTCAGTATTTATGGGGCATTGCTCACAGCTACCACCACACCAAATTTTAGCTTAATATTGCTAAAAATGGCTGATCTCTATAAGAAAAATGGCATCTTTGTTTGCAAATTACATCGCCATGGTAACTCAAAACACCAATAAAAATATAATAGCACACATCACGGTGCCGAGCTGGTGTAACATTTGTGGGGGTACACATTGTGGTTTGGGCTGAATCCAAGTTGAAGGAAGAGCCAGACCCTTTTCAGGTGGATAATAATAGGTGGCTGTATCACTGGCACAGTAGCAGCTGGCCAAGCCCCCTATCCCGCCCTCACCCACGTCCCCACCAAGAATTCTTGAGAAACGTTTACCTCCAGCAGCTCCGTCTGCGTACATGCAGCTGTGTGTCATGTTTGTTGGTTCCGATAACGCAAAGGGGAGAGGCAGGCCCATGAAGAGTTTCTAGAAAACAAACTTTTTTTCATTCCAGGAGGTGGGAAAACAGATCAGAACTGGGGAAGAGCGACCATTGGAGTTTCTGTCCTTGTAATGCATTGACTATCTGTAATCTTAAATTTGATGAAGTCTCCAACCGATCGTTTGTGAATCCATTTTTCCATGACAGCTTCATTATTAAAAGCTCACATCTTTGGGTGATGATTTGTAACAAATCAGAGGCAACTTAAACAGGAGCTGTTTTTTGTGGCAATATCACAATGAAAATAAGTCTCAAGATGGACTCAGGACTCTGGAAGAAATACAGAACCTCCCAGGATGCTTGGGAACATCTCTGTGACTTCCTGAAAGAACTGGAGAAAACAGCGGAGCAGAAGGAAATTTGAGAATTTTCTCTCAGAGTCTTGAATTTCCCATGGGCCATAGGCATCGCAATAATTTAAATGTGAAGGGGATGTGTCCCCCTTCATATTTAAAAAGTATTTGTTTGGACACCCCCCACCCCCCCCCCCCCCCACACACACACACACACACATTTACCATGAAACATTAGTTCACCCAGCACTGTTTCTATTTCTTCATGAACAAATCCATTCCACTTGATTAACAAGAAAATACTCAAACCACTAAAAGTCCACTGCGGGTTTTCCTGGTTACCTACAAGAACTCACCACATGCAGTGTTTCCCCGAGGTCACATGATGGGGCAGGGGGAGGAAGGGAAGACACCTTTGTGTTGTGCACTAGCTTAGCACTACGTTAGTATGGGCAGTTGTTGACCGGAGTGGGGGGATAGGATGTGTGAGAGAAGCGGAGCGCTACGTCTGTAGTATCTTATCTAGCGTGCCTGTATTGTGCGCCGCTAGCTTAGCACTATGTTCGAGCTGGCAATTGTCGACCGAGGTGGGGGGATGGGATGCTTGAGAGAAGAGGAGTGTGATCTATTCACACAAGGAGAGCTGTTGGTCAGGCTACTTCTTGTTGCTCTCGAAAATAGTTATTGAATTAAGCGTTACTTATGTAGGTAAACTAGATGCTTAACAACCTGTTAAAATACACCAGAATGCAGGAAGTTGCATCTGCTTTATTCAAAAATTTTCTGAGGAAGGAACCCCAGCCCCCCCACCAGTGTGTCCCCCCAAATGTCTTCATGGTCTCGCCCCACAGTATCTGTCCGACCTGCTCCAGCTGTACACTCCTTCTCGCTCTCTCAGGTCAGCAGATCAGCTGCTGCTGGTCGTCCCAAGGTCCAACAGGAAACTGAGAGGTGACCGAGCGTTCTCAGTCGCTGCCCCTAAACTGTGGAACGAGCTGCCTCTGCATGTCAGACAAGCTGGCTCACTTTCTGTTTTTAAGTCTTCTCTGAAGACACATCTTTTCTCTTTGGCTTTTACTTCAGTTTGAAATGTTGGTTTTAATGACTCTAAGTTATTTGTTTTATTTTATTTGTTATCTTTATTTTATTTCACATTTTTAACGTGTGGGGTTTTTATGTTTTTGTATGTCCTAGTGTACAGCACTTTGGTCAACAGTGTTGTTTTAAAGTGCTCTATAAATAAAGTTGTATTGTATTGTATTGTAACATTACAAATGTTTCTTACGCCAATGCCAAGGGCCCAGATAAGCAACTATAAACTGGCTCTTCCTTTTCCTCGTGGCTAAGTATAGAATTTTATCCTCATCTCTACTGTAGACTGATTCTTGCCATTGAATACTGCTGGCAGATCCAGTGCAGATTAATCATCTCAATCCAGCTACGTTTATGTTTAAAGTTTGAGTTTCAATCAATCAATCAATCAATCAATTAATTCAAAAAATTGATCATCAGTTTACAAACACATTCTCTGACACCACTTATTTACACGAGTGAAGAGGGAGCAGGAAGAAGAAAATCTTGTCCCCTTTCTCAATAATTACAAAAATGTCATGGCCGTGTACATTAAATTAACAGTTCCCCAACAAAAGTTGTGCAACAGCGAGACCTGTACATGAAATACACAATTGCTTCTTAAAAAAAAAAAAAAAGAGTTTCATGTTGTTTCACGAGGGAGCAGATCTTTGTTGCTTTCAAACAAAGAGTTTTAGATGTTTCCAAGCAGCATGTGTGCATTTAGCTGTAAAATGTTGACGTGGTGTTTCTCGTGCATTTGAACAAGTGTAAATAAATTCTGACCTTTGATGGAGATCTCCTTGCCCTGGAAATTATTCAGGTAGCGCAGCAGAACATCTTTCCAGTAACTTCTGTAGCTGATTAGTCCTAAATCAGACAGGGGTCGCTCAGGAGAACCCACCTTCTCCTCCACCTTGGACAGCAGGTAACCTGGTCGTGCGGCATAAACAGCTTTATGTTTATCTTCAGTCAACACACTGCAGTATTGACCAGTGAGAGCATGATGAGTGCGTGCACTGACTGAAGTCGATGAGCATCTTGCCGTAGCCCTGCCTCATGTACTGTGGCATGGTGAGGATGCAGGACACGTTGTAGTTCAAGAACGAGTTCTTCTCCTGAGCACAGACACAAAAACTAGATATTTTAAGCCTCAATGTTAGAGTGTAAGATTATCAGAATCAGAATAAGCTTTATTATCATTGTACCGGGATACGGTGAGATTATTATAGTTATTATAATATTATAGTTATTATAATGTTATAGTTATTAATGGGTCAGCAGACGCTCGCGCGACTAATGATCCAAATTGCGCTGCGCACGTTTGCTGACGCAGCGGCTGAGTCCAGTTAAGCTTCAGGTGGGTCGCTGGCAGTGATCCATCTGGACTTTTTTTTTTTTTTTTTAACCCCTTTCAACCGGCCGGTCAGCGCGCGGTCAAATGGCCGCGTGCGTCTGCTGATCCACATTGGCTCGTCAGCCGTGCGCATCCGCTGACGCAATCAAACGCCCGACACCGACCCGGCCCGCCCATCCAGCACATTATTTTGGCCCAGCCTGTCCAGAATTTTCAGGTCTGGCCGTCAAGTTAGAAATGACAGCTCTAGAATGGATTCATCTTCAAGCAGAAAATTGTTCAAAGTGATCAGATAATATGGGTTTGTTGTACGGACGTGTATCTTAAGCAAAAACACTCTGAACTCGTCAGGCCATTTTTCTTTAACATAACTGATCTCGGGCGGCACGGTGGCTCAGTTGGTAGAGCTGTTGCCTCTCAACGAGAAGGTCGTGGATCAAATCCTGGCTGGAGGCTTCCTGGGTGGAAACGACATGTTCTCTCCATACATATGTGGGTTTTCTCCGGGTACTCCAGTTTCCTCCCACACACCAAAAACATGCATGTTAGACTGATTGGTAACTCTAAATTGTCTCTAGGTGTGAGTGAGAGAGTGAATGGTTGTTTGTCTCTTTGTGTCTCTGTGATGGACTGGAGACATGTCCAGGGTGTCCCCCACCTCTCGTACAGTGTTTGATGAATACGGACACCAGTGACCCCCGTGACCCGAAAAGGAGTAAGCGGGTAAAAGATAATGGATAATTCTTATGTTTTTAAAATCTGTACAAACCCCCACTGTGTTTATTTTAATTTATGCTTCAGAAATAAGTTTGGACTGAACATCTGGATATTTTATATTTACCATGATGATCTGCAGTTAACCCAAAATGGAATAAGCGGGTAAAGATAATGGATGGGCAGCACGGTGGCGCAACTGGTAGAGCTGCTGCCTCTCAGCAAGCAGGTCCTTGATTCAAACCCCGGTCCAGGGGCCTTTCTGGGTGGAGTTTGCATGTTCTCTCCGTGCATGCGTGGGTTTTCTCCAGGTACTCCGGTTTCCTCCCACAGACCATAAACATGCATGTTAGACTGATTGGTAACTCTAAATTGTCCCTAGGTGTGAGTGAGAGAGTGAATGGTTGTTTGTCTCGTTTGTCTCTATGTGGCCCTGTGATGGACTTGCGACCCGTCCAGGGTGTACCCCGCCCCTCGCACAGTGATTGCTGGACATGGGCACCAGCGACCCCCGTGACCCAAAATGGAATAAACGGGTAAAGATAATGGCTGGATGGATGGATGGATCTGCAGTTATACAGCCAGATAACATCCATGGTGCTCATCTTGCTCACAGGCACATCAACACAGAGATGAACTTCATGTGGTGGATTAAACAAACAGAATTATACTGTGCGTCTTACACATTTTGAAATCTGACCAGATGACTTAGAAAATAATAAGGACTATTAAACAAACAATAACTGACAGTTAACAGTTAGACCTACAAATAACTGTGCTGTCTAAACTTTCTTCATTTGTGGTTTTACCTGCAATAATTATCTGCAGAATGTGAACTTTTGTTTCCAACAACAGTATGAGGGACTAGTGAACAATAAAAAATATACTTAAAATGACAGACATCCCGTCAGCTGCCGTGTTCTGACCGTGACAGAAATATAGTTCTTCAGTTGTAACATTACAGCCCATTTACTAACTCTAAATTTACTATTTAAAAAATAAAAGGCCGTTCGTCTTTCATACCAGAGTTTCAGACCAACACCATCTTCTGTGGAGAATTGATGGAGTTTAGGTCAAACTTGAACAAACAAAAACAAAATCACATGCATTAATGTGAACTGTCGCGCTCGGAGCATGTGGTGAGTGACTCTCAGCTACTACCACAGCAAACTTTAGCTCTACATCCATCAGCTTTGTGTTGGATAATGTCCGTTAGCTGTGGTGGCCATCTTGAATTGGACTGACTTAATAAGTTGTAGATGTACGTCCAAGGATTACGCTGAATGTTTCATTCAAATCTATTCAGTGGTTCATGAGATATTTTGCTAACAGACAAACAACAGGTAACGTTAACGCTGCAGGCAAAGCTCTTGTGTGGCACATGGACGATGTGTTGTGAATGACTTGGTTTAGGAGTGAAATGCAGACTTTTTGTAGGTTTCTAAGATCAGCTGGTTATGGCAACCATCTTAAATTGGGTCGGCTTTAAAACCAGTTGTAGCTTTACATCCAATAATGCTTTTCCTGAAATATTAAAAATCTGTCAGTGGTTTATGAAATATTTTGCTAACAGACAGGATTGACAGCTAAAAGTTAGTGGTAAAATGTCAAACTAAATTCTGTTAGTGTTCAGACTTTATGTTGGGGGTCAGTATCAGCTACTACCACACCAAATCTTATAAAACTTATCAATCTAGACATTCTTGTGTTTTGTTGTTTTACGCTCATTTTGTTGTGGTGGCCATCTTGAGTTGTTCTAACTCCAAAAGTCAATCAGCTGAAGCTTGAAGTCCCATGACTACTTTCTGTCAGCTTCCTTAAAGTTACCCAGTTGATTATGAAATATTTTGTTACGAAACAGACACAAGAGCACACAGACAGACATCACTGCTGCCCTTCAAGGGAGGGGGACACTAAACTCAGAGTCCTCTGGATGTGGCCCCTGGTGTTACCTTGGAGAAGTATCCGACCAGGTGGCATCCTGTGTTGTCAGCTTCGGTCATGACGTAGAAGAGGAACGGCTCTACGTCATAATACAACGTCTTGTGGTCCAGGAAGAGTTTTGCAAGCAGACACAGATTCTGACAATAAATCTGAAAGAGTCGAACAACAAAGAAAAACAACGGCGTCTAATGCATCTGTAAATGTTTACAAGTACGGTAAAAGAAAAGACTGGAGAAGATGCTCACCTTGTTCTTCTTTCCATCCACCTCAAAGACTGAGATGTTTCCCTTCCTGTAGATCTCATCCCCTGGGGGGTGCTTCCACACACACTTGGCCTTCATTAGAGACGACAAGAAAGCAGCAGAAAGGTCAGAGGTCAAACTCTGACCAACAATAAACTTGTAGTTTCATGTAGCAGTAATTCTGAAGGGATACATATTGGATTCAATAATCTATAATCAGCTGTTAGAGTACTTCAGTGAATCTAAACTGGTATGAGGAGTGGGACTGCAAAGCTGAAGGAACAAAGGAAGTGACGTTCTGAAGCACAGGTATATTTTGTAAAAGAAAACATGTGAATGACCAAGTTTAACCACTTCTGTTCTAAATAATAATTGTTAACAAACCTGGTCCAAATCTGCCCACCTTCGTTTCTAACACTTTCACAGACAGATTAAATGAAGATTACGAACGTGGGTACAAACTGTGAAGGTACGACGTAGGTGCAAGTGGGTGAGTTAATAATGTGCACGACATAGACTGCAAGCCGTGCACACAAAAACAAGTTGTGATTTTTACAAACTGGTTACTCAAAACACAAATACAGTGGTGCCTTGAAGTTTGTGAACTCTATAATTTTCTATATTTCTGCATCAATCTGACCCAAAACATCTTCAGATTTTCACACACGTCCTAAAAGTAGATCAAGAGAACCCAGTTTAACAAATGAGACAAAATATTATAATTGATCATTTATTTATTGATGAGAATGATCCAATATCACATATTTGTGATGGTAAAAATATGTGAACCTCTAGGATTATCAGTTAATCTGAAGGTGAGATTAGAGTCAGGTGTTTTCAATCAGTGATGATGATCAGGTGTGAGTGGACCCTGTTAGATTTAAAGAACAGGATCCATCAACGTCAGATCTTCTCAACATGTTTGTGGAAGTGGATCATGGAGGAACAAAGGAGATTTCTGAGGAGCTCAGAAAAACAGTTGTTGATGCTCATCAGCTGGAAAAAGTTACAAAACATCTGTAAAGAGTTTGGACTCCAACAATCCACAGTCAGACAGATTTGGACAAATGGAGGAACATCAAGACCATTGTTACCTCCCCAGGAGTGGTGGACCAACAAAGATCAGTCCAAGGTGTGGAAGAGTCTGTGAGGTCACAAAGGAGCCCGGGGTAACTTCTAACACCTGAAGGTCTCTCTCACATTGACTGATGTTGATGTTCATGAGTCCACCATCAGGAGAACTCTGAACATTAATGGTTCATGGCAGAGTTGAAGGAGAAACCACTGCTCTTCAACAAGAACATGGCTGCTCATCTGCAGTTTGTTAAAGATCACGTGGACAAACCAGAAGACTGATGGAAGAATGTTTTGTGGACGATGAGACCAAAGTAGAACTTTTTGGTTTAAATGAAAAGAGTTCTGTTTGGAGAAATGAAAACTGCATTCCTGCAGAAGAACCTGATCCATCTGTGAAACATGGTGGTGGTAGTATCATGGTTTGGGTCTGTTTTGCTGCATCTGGCCCAGATGATGGAACAATGAATTCTGAATTATATCAGAGGATTATGGAGGGAAATGTCAGAACATCTGTCCATGAACTGGATCTCAAGAGAAGGTGGGTCATGCAGCGAGACAATGACCCTCAGCACACAAGTGGTTCTACTGAAGAATGGTTCAAGAAGAATAAAGTTCATGTTTTGGAATGACCAAGTCAAAGTCTTGACCTTAATCCAGTCCAGATGTTGTGGAAGAACCTGAAGCAGCAGTTAAAGTGAGGAAACCACCAACATCCAGAGTTGAAGCTGTTCTGTAGAGGAATGGACTAAAGTTCCTCCAAGGACTGATCAACAGGTACTGGAACATTTAGCTGTAGTTACTGATGCCGGTGTGTGTGTGTGTGTGTGTGTGTGTGGGGGGGTGGGGTCCACACTAGATAATGAAAGCAAAGGTTCACATACTTTTACCATCACCAATATGTAATATTGGATCATTCTCCTCAATAAATAAATGATCAAGTATAATATTTTTGTCTCATTTGTTTAACTGGGTTATCTTGATCTACATTTAGGACTTGTGTGAAGATCTGATGATGGTTTAGATCAGACTGATGCAGAAATATAGACAATTATAAAGATTTACAAACTTCAAGGCACCACTGTAGTGAGGGCTACCAGCTAACTGTGATGGACAAGGAGCTCTCCAGACAGGTCCCATAAAAAGTTGTGGAGAACTGAAAATCCCACAGAACTCCTCACTTAATCGGCACAATGACTCCAGAAAGCAGCGTACCATGTGTCTGCGCAGAATGGTCTGACTCTTTATGTACTTGAGGCAGAACTCGCACATGTAGAGTCTCCCCAGGCGGGCGTACTCCTCGGGGTACGGAGAGTGGTACCAGGTGTCCAGCTCAAAACGCCCAAACACGATGGTCTTTATCATGTTGCTGCCCTCCGACACCTGGCCGGACAGGCGAAGCTTCTCCTGCAGAGACAAGGGAGACGAAGCACGGACAGAGCAAGAAGAGGGGACAAGCAAGCAGGTGGATGGGTGACAGGGGAAAGAAGGGGGGGTCTTCAGTTATTAACAGAAGACGTTTGGGTCAGCCAAACAGCAACAGTGTAAAGAACCGGGCGAAAACTAAAAAGGTGGAGGAAGAAAAAGGAAAATGAAACACTAATAAGAAACTTCATATGGAAGGAGACATTTTTCTGTGGGAGCGAGGAACACGTACAAAGATTTTAAGCTCCTTTCAGATAAAAATATAACAAGTTACAATAATTCTGTTGAGATATAATGTTTCATTATGAAACCGAAGGTATTTGAATGTGTGGCTGAGCCATAAGAATCGTCTCAGAACTGAACAGAACGACACGATGTGAACGTCCAAACTACCAAAACTATCTCAGACTCCTCCTGTGGCTGCGGACGAGGATTTGCAGACTGAAAAGAGAGAAGAAGAGCGGTAAGACAGAAAAAGGAGGGAGGAAGAGGGTGGGGGCAAAAAGCAAAGCAAAGCCAAAAAGTGTAAGAGAGGGAGGTGATGATGAGTTCTCTCTCTTACAAGGTCATCCGAGGCACGTGCCTGCGCTTTCCTGAACAGCTCGAGGTCGTAGTCGCTGGTGATGTTCTCCAGCAGAGGCTCCCGGCTCGTCCCGTGGCTTTCACGATGTTCCTGGAAAACAGACAAACAGGCGAGAGGCTTGTAAAACGGAGTAAGAGGCAGAGAGCGACCTTCTCAGATGCTTACCACACACTTTTCCTTCTGCTCCTTATTGAGACCAGAGTTCCTCTTCCTCCTCAGCTCGCTCACCTTCTCCTTGTAGCGCTGCTGACGATCTGTAGGGGCCTGAGAGACCACCCACACACAAACACAAACACAAACACTGACGTGGAAGAAACTTCCAAGCTTTCAGTCTCTTACGAACGATATCTTACAGTTACGGACAAAAGAAAGTCCATCCTCGTTGAAGTCCAGTGTTTTATGTAAGAGGACATAAAATGATTAAACAGTTTACAGAGCAGGGCTGTGCGTCTCTGCTCTGAGGCTGATACGTGTCTAGATAAAATACCAAAGATCTGATTCGTTAACGGTACATCAGCAGCAAAAACTGATACGACGGCTGAACAATTTTGGAAAATATTCTAATTGTGATTTTTTTTTTAACCTCAATATTGCGATTTAATATGCGATTATTTTTCAGTGTCTTCTTCTCATGTACTGTTCAATGGACACAAGCAATAAATCTGCTTCAGTTGTTTTCAGCTCTGCTGTAACTCTGTTTCTGTATTTTATGTGTAGCTCCAGGATAGCATCTTGGCTAAAATGTGTGCACGAGGACATTTTGTACCACTTATCCATTGTGTTTACCAAAACCATAAACCCAGGCTTGGTCACTATATTAATGGGCATCATGTGTTTTGCTATGAACTACGTTATTGCTCGAGTTATTTCCACGTGCTGTTTTGAATTATGTTCATACGCAGTAATACCTTGGAACAGTTCCGTCAGTGATCCCTGTCGGCTGCTACTTTGCTTAATTAAAGTTGAAACACTGGTCGTTGACATTCTAGTCATGCAGCTAGCGTAAATATCTTGTTACAACTCGACACCCACAGCTTATAGACAAGTGTGGCCTATATATGTACAATATTTTTTTCTTTTTAAATTTAGTGGGCGTGGCTTATATTCAGATGCGCTCGATAGTCCAAAAATGATGGTATGTCAATTACAGAAACTCTTACTACAAAATAAAAAATGTCCACTAACAAACAGGTTATGTTTTCACCTTCCTGCTGTCCTTGGGTCAAAATGACCCAAGGGGGGAGGGAGGGGGGCGTGGTAAAAGTTGCAGAACACTTTCATAAATCCTTGCTCACAATTAATAACAGCAGCACGGTGGCGCAACTGGTAGAGCTGCTGCCTCTCAGCGAGCAGGTCCCTGGTTCAAACCCCGGTCCGGGGGCCTTTCTGGGTGGAGTTTGCATGTTCTCTCCGTGCATGCGTGGGTTTTCTCCGGGTACTCCGGTTTCCTCCCACAGACCAAAAACATGCATGTTAGGCTGATTGGTAACTGTAAATTGTCCCTAGGTGTGAGTGAGAGAGTGAATGGTTGTTTGTCTCGTTTGTCTCTATGTGGCCCTGTGATGGACTTGCGACCCGTCCAGGGCGTACCCCGCCCCTCGCACAGTGATTGCTGAACATGGGCACCAGCGACCCCCGTGACCCAAAATGGAATAAGCGGGTAAAGAAAATGGATGGATGGATGGATGGACAATTAATAACACACAAAAATGAGGATCAGTGCAAAATGAATAAATTTGCCAGCAGCAGATGTTTCATTTTCTTTTAGTGTCTTAGCAGTGAGCAGTTAAATGCATTTTCTGTTATAAATAATAAAACTAATGGAATGGTAATTGGTCCACTTTGCTTTGAGCACAGCTTCAGAGTGTTTGTTGCTGTTTACACCAGCGCTGCTGCAGTTCTCCTCCAGACCTGTAGGTGTCTCAAAAGAGAAAACAACACAGCTTTTTCAGGTCTCTCTTGTAAATGCGTCCTCGAGGCTCAATGGGATTCACCTGTCTAAATAAAGGTCGAATAAAATTAAATAAATAAACTGCAGGAAGTGCAGCCAGGACAACAGCTGTTCACCGTAAGAAATGAAGAGAAGGGGTCTGCTCTTCATGACTAAACACCTGTAGTATTTGAAATATATAACTAAGGACAAAATATAATAATGACTGATCTTCTTCTTCTTCTCCCTCTTCAGGGTCTCCACAGCGAGTCATCCTCCTCCATCTCTGTCCTCTGCATCCTCTGTCCTCACTCCAACTACCTCCACGTCCTCTCTAACTGCATCCATATATCTCCTCTTTGTCTTTTACAATAATGACTGGTAATATTTATTAAATTATGACTCTTATTTTAGTTGTTTATTTTGTGGCATTTATTCATTAATATGTTTTACGTTGTTTTCAGATGTCCAGAAGAAGAGCTGTGGTACATGTGAAATTAAGAGTTTACACAAAATGAACGTCTTTGATTCTGTTTCTAAGGTGATTTTCATAAATTCTCTGAGGGTTCATGAGGATTTCCTCTGTCAGCTGAGCTCAACAGTTACATCATCACTGTTTCTGTCACCAAACCTACAATAGTTCTTCATCACTTTCACCCTGACCCTGCTACACTGACAAACAGCAGCGTGGTCTCACACATATCTGACCATCCTGGTTAAAAATAAAAAAAATAAAAATTCATCTCCTTCAGCTAACAAAAACAAAACGCTCGCAGGTCACTGTGTGTCACTTTGCATCTATCATAAATGTGTGTGTGTTTGTTACCTGGTTTCTTGTAGAGTGCCTGTTTTCATCCTGCCGGTGCGACAGCGCCCGCTCCTCGGCCTGTTTGTCGCGCGTCGTAACTTTGCCCTGTCGAAACATCAACACAACGACTCTGAAACAGCCCTGCAGCGCAAACATCACAGCAACCTCCTCTGTGTTTCAGCAGCTCCACTAGTCACATTTTGCCTTCACTTTATTGTGCCGTCACACAGGAAGACAGATTCTACTAATATCACAAGTGGAAGTGGTCTCCAGCTACAAGTACTTGGGTGTGCACCTGAATGACAACCTCAGCTGGAGCAACAACACCACCAGCCTGATCAAGAAAGCTCATCAGAGACTCTACTTCCTCAGACGGCTGAGGCGAGCTGGTCTGGAAGCTCAGTCCTCACCTCCTTCTACAGGTGTGCAGTGGAGAGCATCCTGTGCTCCAGCATCAATGTGTGGCATGGAGGCTGCACAGCTGCAGAAAGAAAAGCTTTGCAGAGAGTGGTGAAGGCTGCACAGAAGACTGTTGGAGTCAGTCTCCCCACCATCACAGACATCTACACCTCCAGATGCAGGAAGAGGGCCACCTGCATCATGAAGGACCCCACTCACCCAGCACACACATTTATTTCCCCGCTCCCCTCAGGAAGGAGGTTGAGGAGCATTAAGTCTAGAACCACTAGACTGAGGAACAGCTTCTACCCTGAGGCTGTTAGACTCATGAATCTCTAACCAGAATAATCACTGTGAAAAATCACATCATGTTGCTGCTGATCTGTTTCAATGTTGCTGCTGATCTGTTTCATGT